ACATACATAACATACATAACATAACACAACACAACATAACATAACATAACATAACATAACATACATGTACGCATATATCTGCATATATATATATGTAGATGTATATGTATACGTATCATATAACTACATAGTCATATCGCCACTATAGTTGGCATCTCCCAACGCCACCTCCGTGGACTTGACGCCATGGCTATACGCAAAGCTGGCCATTGGCACCCCACTCGGCTTGTGCCGCAGCTCCCCCGGCCTGCGCTGCAAGATTTTGCATCCAAGGCTGCGCGTCACGACCCTGAAAATAATTAGTACACCCATACAACCAAAACAGCGACAGCAGCCTTACTCGCGAAATGTTGCTGCCTATCCTCAGAAAGAGCCTAGATGCTGGATTTTCAGCTTCGGCCAAAACCCCATGACGGACCGAGAAAATCGGCGTGCATTCCGAAACGCCTTTGGGCATCTGCGCACCTCAGACAGACTTTCCTCGACCATTCGAAATCCAACCTTCGAAGCCAAATACAAATCCCCAAGCCTCCAGGCGTGATCCTTAGGCGCGATGAGGCTCTCCAACATGGCCTGTGCAGAGCGCAAGGGTTTTCAAGGGATGACAGGGACTGTCGCCTTTCTAGGGCTCACAGTTTTCAAGGGTTAATATGGTTTAATGACGTGGCATGAGGACGAACTGTATGCGAATGACATTGTTGCAACGAGTGAAATGGTCACACAGGAGTCTAGGCTCACCGGCAATACCTGCTCGCAAGCGAGAAACAGTAGATGAACAATGATGAACACGATGCAGTTGGAAATCGACGAAAATAAACCTAATGGACGCCGTCAGAGGATGACGGACTGCTTTCAAACTTTATCTTCAATGCTTCAACGTATCATTTCAGGATTTCGACTTTGATGTTTACACAGTTCCAGCGTGATGTTGTAAACGACGACAACGACGAGCTGCAAACCAACGAGCCTGAGCCTTCTCTGCGGTCACCTCGGCTGGCACACAGCTGACGAGACAAAGCCAACTTCACGCATCCCTTTGCGACTGGCTGCAGGAAGCCACCTCGACCTCTGACAGACCCCACCCACTTAAGCAAAGCCTTGATCTAGGTTGAGGGTTTCGGAGCAGCACGCACACTCGGACAAGCCTGGGTGAGGCTACTGGAAGGAGGGTTTCGGGTTCTGGGTTCTGGGCCCTTGGAAACTAGCATAATCCAAGCAGCATGAAGCTGTTCAAGCTCATCCTGCACCTCTGCAGCAATGCCGGGGGGGGGGGGGGGAACCCTAAACC